CAAGATTAAACCGTTTGCATGCGGTCACGTGACCCTTAGTTCAGCCACAGTTCCTGTGGTGCACGCGCTGCGGCGCTAACAACGTCTGGTGGCACCGTAGGGCCGGGGTGTGCAGTCGGGTGACTTTGAAGGCGTTCCGTTCGCATGCATGCATGCTTGTGAGCCATGCAGGGATGCCGAGCCACGGCCGGGTGGGCTCGCGCCCCCCCGGACCCCCCTGCTTGATGCGGGCGCTTCAAAGCTACGCCTGCCTTAGGCAGGCTGCCTACATACTGAGCCTTGGCACGGCCCTTGGCCTGAAGCTGGAACTGTGGCTTGACATCCCCCCTAAAAACCTTGTGTGCGCCTCATGCGCCCCTCTGCCCGCGCAGCATGCCCTTTATGCGCCCCCCTACTACTGGCCTCGCCCGCACCCTGGGGCCCCCGGTTCTTGATCCCTGTCTTGCTCATCTTCCCGCTTGCGGGGGGATGAGCGAGTGCTTATCCACGAAGCCTTGTTTCACTCCATGCTGCGGAATCCTGCGGCCGAACGCTTGCCAAGCGCCTGCCCTGCGCAGCGCCTCGCGGTGTCCGTTGACATCGTGGGGCGGCCGCTCCAAAGTGCGCAGGGACGCTGGCAGTGGCTCGCTGACATGATGGACAGGGTGCCTTCCGTACCGTATTGCTATTTGAAGAAAAACACATTCTTGCCTCACACACTGCGTTGAGCCGTCAGTCTGACCCTGACCACGCAGCTTGAATCGTGCTCGGCTTGTGCTGCTAGCGGGTGAAGTCTCACCATTCATCATTGTCAATAACCCATCACCAGATAGCCTGGGGCAAGAACACAACAGAACCGTACACATTGCCAATGTTTCAGATCCATTCTGTCGCCCGGGTGAACGCCGGCCTGCGTTTCGCCCAGGTATGCAGCACATTGTGTCAGGTTGCAACGAGTACACGCGCCTGGCCCTGCCATTGGTGCCGCGTCGCCCGACGATGGCGGCTGGTACGCCCGGAGCGTCCATGCCAGCTCGCGCTCGGTGGGCCGCCGAGGTGGCTCACTTGCCCGCGCTAATGCTTCGCAAACAACGCAGGCTGCAGCGTGCATTGGACTGTTTGTTGCAGCCCTTTTCTTTGCACCCGAATGGACGGGGATAGTGGCCGCTGTTGGTGCTGCCTGCGGCGCGGCCGCTGCTGTGGCGCTGGGCGTTGCTGACTTAGTCACCCCCTGCGACCGCTGCTGCAACGTGGCTGCGCGGCGCTTCAAATGGTGCGCGCGGCGCCGCCCCAGCCTGCACAGTGTCGCATGTCTGCATGTCAGCAGGGCGCGCCCCACCGTTTGCTTGCTCCACCCGCTCAGACTGTCACCCACAGGCCTCGCCCACGTCCTTGCCCCCCCTCCCCGCACCCTTTGCGTGCCCTTAGCAGCACCCTACTGGCGGCGGTCGCCTCTCTCATACTCAGCATCATGCTCGCCTGTGCCTCGGCTGTCTTCCTGGCCGGCACCGGTCCCGCCTGCGCCTCGGGCGTCTCATCGCCCGCGGCCGCTGACGCTGCGACGGCGCGCAGCGGCGGGAACGACGCCTTAGCAGCACCACGGCGTCTGCTGGCTGATGGGCCGGGCGCCACTGTGGCCCCGAACCCTGAACCCTGGCCGCTCCCGATGACGGCGGCGCCCGCTGGCAGCGGCAACGGCAGCAGCAACGGAGCGTCGCAGGCGCCGAACGTCGCTGCGCCCGGCGCTAGCGCAGAGGCGGCGCCCTCTGGTGGCTCTTACAGTCCGTTGAGGCATGGGGCATGCACCGCTCGTAACGCCGGCGGAGTGTCAGGTGTGTGGTGCTATCATAGTGCAGGGTCTTGCGTGCTTTATTGTCAGGCACAGCCAGGCGGGCCACACCTTGTGTGCACTCATGTGTGTCAAATCACATCCACACGCACGCGCATGCAGTGGAGACAAGCTGGATGCATATCCGGCACATGTATGCTCGTGCCTGGACAGCAACACCGTGTGTTTTGCCCTTCGACGCCTTGTGCACCCTTATCGCCCGCACCCTTCCGCAGGCTTTGTCGCCGCCGCACTCTTTGGGGCGAGCGCCGCCCTCTGCGTGATGGCGTGCGTAAAAAACGGTACCATCGGTGGCGCAGGCCAGATCCTTGCAGCTGATGGCGTCCAAGGGCTGCAGGTTTCTAAGAGCATGCCTTTGAGACA